GAAGGAGAAGGTAGGCAAAAGTGCATTCACCTGAATTCAGTGTTTTACTGGTATCACCACCACCAACACCGTGTCTCTCGATCAGGAATTGAAAAACCAACTTACCTGTTCAAAATACGTTGTCCAGCCCTGAATCCAATAGAGTAGCCAACAGCAACTCAAATGCCACCGACTTGGTTGCGCCTCGGACCATTTGGAACGATCCCACAGTCGTTGCATAACCGACGCCAAAAAATATTCTTTCCAAATCACTCCGATCCATAGAAGTGAGACACTGGGTCGTCCGAGTAGACAAATAAGAAGCGGGAACGTGCCAATCGGATGCAGAACGTCAAAACTGTTCTGAGTCCAATCAGGAGAGGAAGATGATTTTGATACCAGTAATTCGGTCGTCAATCGATTGCTACGACGCCAGTACCACAGTACGAGACAGTCGATGACAAGGAAGCTATAGACGAGACGGGCAGTGATCACAGACCATTCGCTAGAGAGACGGAGATGTGACAAAGGGAGAGACAGGGAAGGAGCGTTGGATCAAGATGCAACACGTTTCCCCCGTCCCGTATTCACAAGAAAGCGGTGCGCTTTTGAAATACACACTAGAGGCGGGTCACGCTTGCTATGCCCCGTATGTGCATAATTCAAAAGTCGAACAACAATACCGCCACCTAACCTGCTGATGGAAGACTTTTGGCTGACTTCTTTCGTTTTGTGTATGTCAAATTATTGGGTTTTCCTAAACCTTCTTGGGACCGAGGAGTTTGCCCACCTGATCTACTGCTCCTTACGGTAAGTCGCGATGTGTTCGGTGATACGAAAGAAATGATACCATCCCAGTTCAACCGAATCCAGAGACCAATATTTTAGGACATCGTCTAGTTACGAACACATGCACTGTATTTTTGTAAGATGAAAACCATTTGTTTGTGAGAGAGATCAACAGCTGAGTAAAGCAAAAGATCTGTCCGTTATCCAACTAAACAAATGATTCCATTTCTCGAGAACACGAAAGTCATGCGCTGGCAATGTGGAACAGTATCTTTCTCTCACGCACATATACATATATATATATTCATTACAACAAAAATGATTGAACAGAGAACGAATGAGTCCATGCTCGGCTTGTAGGCCGAAATTCTAACCTATATTAGGGATTGTAGTGAACTAAGATTGACTGACACGTTTACCGTGCTTGCCTATGTGACAGGATTAATTGGCTTATGCTGTCTCCTACCACATGGACAGACACGTGCGCACGCATGCATGCAGACTTACTCTATGACATGATCGATTCGTCTTTGCCAATCAAGTGTTAGAGCATGGCACGGTCCACGTTCATTGCTTCGTTGACACCTTAGCTGCTCAGCTTGTCCGCGTGATGATTTCATATAACCCTAGCACACCTACCTGCTTGCGCGTTGATACCTTAACTTTCCCACCGACCACCACCGACCTACGAGAAATAAGCAATCTAATTCACTATGAGCCCTTTAATCTACTTAAGGAGAAGAAAAAACAGTTATTACTATTATCTTCTTTGTTTTTTTATGTCCACTCAGTGTTCATTTGCTTACCTCTCGCAAGTCGTGCACGATTGGCTCGCTTTTCCGCTGTAGATGTAGAAACTGTCATGCATGTCTGATTTCATATTCAACTCACTCGGATTGTGTAGCAATAGATGAAGTGAAACTCTGTTTCCTTGACTCCCTTCATTTCATTGGGCTAGATAAAAGGCCACCACACTTGTCATTGACCCAATTCAAACAGGTATCCAACAGAGAATGGATTATTGTCGGACTGTTGCTTCTTTACACCTATTCTGCAACTTTAATCATTTTGGGTTTCAGTTCAGTTTGTTAAACCATTAACCATGCACTTATATGCGCCGGTAATGGTTGCCCATTTGAATGAACAGTAAGAGATAGACAGGAACGTTGAAAATAGAGTCGAAGAAAAAAGAAGAGTTTCAGCAGAATAAGGAATTGAATAAGAAATTGAGATGCATCAACGCCACTGTTTACGACACTCATCCGTATCACTCAGCGTCTCTAACCACCATCATCCTGAGATCCCCAGGAGGAGAATCTAAAGAAACCTGTGTGACCGAGTCTCCTGGTTAGGATTCTGATACCTTCGCGCTAGGTTTTGGTTTGTTTTTTCCACCCACTAAAACTTGACTCGGCAAACGTCGCCCGTCGTGGCAACCTATTTGGTGACATGCCTAACACATGACCCAACCAACGTAATCTATGGAGGTCGACCACTTGCTTCAGCAGTCGGCCGCGGTTACCTAAAACTCTGTGTCTAACCTCAGCACTCCCCGTCCGGTTGCCCCACCAAATTCGTGCAACGAGACGTAGACAGCGGTGTTAAAACACCGTCAGTCTATCTTTATCCTGTTTCCTTAATGGCCACGTTTCTGCTCTATACAGCAGAACTGGCCAAACTGATGCAGCATACACACGACCCTTCACAGACAGCCGAATGTTGCGACGGCGCCACATATGTGTCATGTTGACAAATGCCAACCGAACATGGCTACGCTGATATTCGCGCTGTCCAGAAAAGCTTGCAACTTACCTGGATTTGGGTATAGTTCACCCAGATTTGCCTGCTCCAACCGTCATCCCTCTGTTCATCTATCCCATTGGGTCTTGTGTACAAACGATCAGTACTAAGTGGTCGCTCTCAGGTGTCACAGGTTTAGCTTCCAATAATTCCTTTTCCAAAGGCTGTCTACCTTCGAACTGACATCGTGTTAAAACAGAATTAACAAGCCAGGTTCGACTTCATTGAGTGCCGCACTTGTTCACTCACAGTTTATCAGCTTAGATCACGTAATTCACCCTTTTTTGATTGTTTGCACCTTGTGTGTATGTGAACGAAGGGTGCAACAGAGCGTTGGAGATGGACCAATGTAAATATGTGAAGTTCACTGATATACACGTACACACAACAAAAATGTGGACCTAATTGAAAAAAACAAGGGATTATATATGGAGAACGCGAGAATTGCATACACGGTTTGTTGTGTGATGACACGTACATGTTAAGGACTACAGAACAACAATGCCTACCTTTTCGTGGACGCAACCGCCCAACGATAAGCAAGCTGACCAAATGTGATCAGAGTCAGACTTAGCACGGGAAGCGAGCAAACGAACCGGAGGGGATGCCGATTCGCGGAATAGCGCCTTATTGCCATGGTTCGCTGGAGTAGCAATGTGAACCAACCCACGATTAAGCTTAGCCATAACCAGATGGAGTGTTCGGGGCTGGAAATAAAAAAACGACAAACAGAAACATAGTTGATGGCTGGTGGCTCAGCATACATATAAGAGTACTAACTGGGCAACGGCAATGTGTGTGTGTGCTACATTCATAAGGACCCGCAATGGTCACGGAGTAGGGAAAACACATTGGGCTGTTTGTTACCTCACCCAAGATGGATACGTTCCAAGTTCGAATGCGTACTAGGTGGCAACATTTCTGAATGGTGAGCAAGGATTGTCCGAGCAGTGAGCATTTTCTATGCCAGCGAGAAAGCCGTGACAAATGATCCCTGTCAAACAAGTCTTGACAAGTTTCCTCGTTCAAACTTCAAATTATTTTGATTTTTGCCGCACAAAATCTGGGAAACAATCAGGGACACCACTTGTAGGTCGTCTTTTTACTGAATATATACAGTGAAGCTAACAACTTCAGGTGACGACCGATCAAAGACAATTTGGAGAGGTACGGAAGTGGGATTGTGATATTCAATAACTGCTACTTGGCGGGTCATGCTTTGGTTATCCAAAGGCCCTGACTGTGAAATCTAGAAAAATTGATCTGCTTCTGTCTGGGCGATCTCGAAGTGTTCCATCCAGGAGCGAAGGATAGACCGATTTGTTCGGTACATGATCTGGAATCAGATGTGTGTGAAATACATACATTTTGCAGTGGGAAAATTGGGTGGCGGCCGTGCGACCAAGTTGACTGAGTGCGATTCAACACTAGGTGTCTGAAAAGATGTCAACCAACTTTTACTTCATTTCAGTTTAGTTTTCGCAAATGAATGGTGAAGGATCACTGTAGAACATCTTCTGAATTGCATGGTTTCACGGCCGGAGGTCACGGAGCTGCAGAAATTCTAGGTGATAAGCCGGGGTGTTGAGCACAATGGCACTTGTGCTGCATTCATCAACCAAGGTAAGAAGGAGCCCAAGAATAACGAACCGAAAAATTGCTGAACAGTTGGGGAAAACCGAAAAAATGTGTCGACTAGAATCACATCTTGTAGACACATGGATGGAGTAGAATTCTTGATTAAAGTACACAATGTCTAGCAGTGATCTTATTCCCAAGATATCGTGCTCGTTCCGC